CATGGTTGTGATAGCTCGTCCTCGGCAGGGAGATGCCCAGGGGCCCTCTCAAGCTGGATGGTCCCTAAGGATGGACCACTGCTGGGCAGGGAAAGGCCTGCTGGGAGGAAGGTGAGTCAGCACCCCAAAAAGCAGTCTCCCAAGGGAAGCCAAGTGTGGACGATGAGAGGCACAACAGGGACCCAGCCCTGTCCCCTCCTGCTGATGACACAGTGAGCAGTTTTTCAAGTGCTTCCCCCAGAGAACACAGGGCTGTCCCCCCCCCCCCCGACAGCTCAGGGCTCCATGAAGGGCCCCAGCCCCTCTTTCCAGCCTTTGCTCTAGACCAAGGTCACTGTCCCCCAGGGCTGTCACCCTGTCTGGCTCCTCATATGCCCCACAATCTTCGAGGCTTATCCAACCCACTGCTGTCCACACGGGGCCTCCCCGTGCATCCACCTCTCACTCACCAGGACTCGACCCCGGAGCCGGACCTGTCCTCCTGGGGACCAGTAACCACTGGGGCGCCCGAAGGTGTGGCTCCATGACTCTTCCACTGCCATCTTTCCCTGCCATTTCTCTGTAGTCTTCCCTGTCTTGGTTTCCCAAATACATCTTTAAACTCCTCGCAGAGGGAGACAAAGAAGCTAAGGAGGACCAAGAGCAGAGGCTGGGGCAGGAGCCCGCAGCGGGGAAATGAGAGGGAGCCGCATGGCAGGGCCTTAATGAGTCCCAGTTCACTCAGTCTCCGGAGTAGCAAAAGCAGAGGCAGCAGCGGCCCGAGCCCAGAGTGCCTGCCACACGCACTGTCACCTGTGACCGTGAGCGGTGCCACGGGTCACTGTTCAAACCACGGCCGTGTTCATTCAGTGAGTCCCAATTAGGACTGGAGGCCAGCCCGGGGTCTACAAAGCCGAGGTGCTTCACAGGGCTCCAACCACTCTGCTGTCCTTTGATGTTCCCATTCCAATTAAGACACTCAAGACTTTTGAAGTTTATGAGTCATTTGCTTGAAATATCTTTAAATTAAGGACAGACTCACTTCCCGGGTAGCAAACATCCCACAACTTAATTAAGACAGGTTCAGCACTTAAACTGCCATTGAGGTTTCAGAGAAGGACTCGGCTCCTTCCAGCCACCTCTGCTCCCAGCTTCCTTCCAGTCCAGTTTGGGGTTTAGGAAACATTTCATTGTCACCGGATTTGCTCCTTTGGTTGGGTGGACCACACGCTGCCCAGGCCAGCTTGGCCATCAGGGTGCAGAGAAAATAGCACCCTTAGTACCCGGGCTCACAAAGAGACACCTACCTAATGGACACTGAAGTCTCCCTAGTGACAAGGACAAAGCAACTTAAAGTCATCCTTGGGAATGCATGAGTGGACAGCAACGTGAAAATCACCAGGCTGGACTCAAGTGACATCCACACCATGCAGTCTTGAGCTGCAGGGTGCTGTGCGTATGTGACTGATGGAACCCTCAAACATCATGGGGACCTCCGGAGTGATTCACCCCCCAACAGACCCCAACCTGACAGCTGGGAAAGTGCCAAGCTCACCAAGAAAGGCCAGCGAGCCTCAGGGGTGACCCTGCGGATCTCAGAACCTTCACTGAGCAGACCCAGCACCCAGCACCCATGTGGCGGGCGTCTGCGCAGCAGGCAGGACAGGCCAGCTCAAATTCCTCACAAGCTCACTTTATGAGCTTTGAGATCAAAGCTCAGGAAACAGCTCTGTTTTCCTCCTGGGAGACTCTGATTCCAGATTCGCAGCATGACCAGTAAGGGGGCTGTCACAGGTCGCCCCCACCCCCGAGCAACCTCAGGCGAACTTCTGACCCATCTGACATCCTTCCCCTGCCAGCAGCACTCATGAGAGCTGGAGATCCATGCTGCTGCAAATCTGCGCCAGGTGATTTTCCATCTCAAACAGAGCCTGGCTGGCGTCATCTCTACCTCTGTGTGGAGCACCAAGGTCAGGTACAAGGCCACAGCATCTCATTAAATGACCGCTCAGAGGTAGTAGCAGTAAATTGACATGATGCTGGAAATTCCTATCATTAGTATCATCATCACCACCATCACCACCATCACCATCACCACCACCACCAACATCACCATCACCACCACCATCACCACCACCACCATCACCACCATCACCACCATCACCATCACCACCACCATCACCACCACCATCACCACCACCATCACAATCACCATCACCACCACCACTAACACCATCACCACCATCACCACCACCATCACCATCATCATCACCACCACCGTCACTATCACCATCACCATCATCACCACCATCACCATCACCATCACCACCACCACCATCACCACCACCATCACCATCACCATCACCACCACCATCACCATCACCACCATCACCACCATCACCATCACCAACACCATCACCATCATCATCACCACCACCATCACCATCACCACCATCACCACCATCACCATCACCAACACCATCACCATCATCATCACCACCACCACCACCACCATCACCATCACCATCATCATCACCATTACCCTCACCCTTATACCAACAGCAGCGTGCAGAGTGGTGACCATGTGCTGCACACTGACCAGTGCGGACACTACCTAGTCCTTCCAGCAATGTCAGAGGTTAAGTAGCTGCATCATCCCCACTGAGGTACAGAGAAGACAAGCAGGTCCCCCGGGACACACAGGGCGATTCCTGAGGAAGGGGCTCTGAGGACCACCGCAGCTACTCCACATAACCTCCGCTCCTGGTGGACTCCAGAGAGTCCCAGGTCACTACCTCTACACTTGCTGTGCCCAGGAACGCTTGTGCCCAAGAGAGCCAAGAGCTGCAACCTGCCCTTCCTAAGGCTTCTTTGCTGATGCAGTGATGAAACACAACCGCAAACCTGACTCCTGAGATCTCTCTGGACATCAGAACTGACTTGATAAATCTTGCATCGCTTCCTAGAATCCTGCTTCCAGGTTTGAGGCGTTCTCAGCCTTAAGTGGGCAAAGCTGAGTGTGACAAGCCTCTCTGGCCCCCGGTGGCCGGACCCATCTGTGACCCTGGCCACGTGGCTGCCAGGCACCAAGTCCCGTGCTGACGATGAGTCCGTGTCTCCCAGGGCCTGACGGGAGCTGCTCCTGCTCAGGCCGAGGAGTTGGGTGGTGCCAATCGGGCAGTGAGGACCCCCCTGAGGACTCGTCAGCACTTCCTCTCCTCCCTGCACCTCAGCCTGGGAGCTGCTGGACACTGCCCAGCCCCTGGAGTGGCCACGGTGGACGGCTTTTCCCTTTCCCGCAGGCCAGCATCCGTTTCCAGAATAACATTTCTCTTCATTCAAAGCAGACGCACATATTTCCCCCTTTTAGATTTGTTTGCCTAAACAAACTAATCTAGCACCAGATTATATTATAAAGAACCATAAATCTTTTCCGAGATAAGCATCTGTCGAGTTGGATTACCGGCATCCAATGTTCTGTGAATTAATTTGCTAAGCTTTATAACGCTGTCCTGGGCGTTTAACTTGAGCAATAACAAATGGAATTCGGAATAAATGGGAACTTGGTTTCTCATCCATGTCTACAGAGCGAACGACGCATTCAGAGGTGACAGGAGGTGCACATAGGGCGGCCGGTGAGTTGACAGAACTTATTGTGGGGTGCACACACAGGTACCTAACACACGATGGGCCACGCCAAGCCACTGGGGGTCCCATAGGAGGCCCAGGGCAGGTGGTCCCCCAGGTCCCAGACCAGACTCAGAGAACCCCAAGCTCAGTCCCGCCCAGAGAACCCTAGCCTTGGCCCTGGACTTGGCTCTCAGGTTCTGCTCTCAAATTTAGGCCGCATCCCAGAGGCAAAGAGTGCAAAGCAGGTTCCTGGATGCAAAGAGAAAGGGGGAGGGAGGAGGGAAGGGATGGACGGGAGAGAGCGAGAGCAGGAAGGAGCGGGGAGGGAGAAGGGAGACGCAGGCAGGCAACACGGCCTGAAGGGCGGACCCTGCTCACCCAGGAAACCCTGTCCAGCCACTGTCTCTGCTTGGCTGCCCAAGCTCAGGAGGCACCCTGGCAGTCTGTCAGACACTGGGCACAGGGACACTGTGCCACCTGCCAACAGGGGAGCTCTGGGGACCCATGCTCCTCGCCACGGACTAGACATGGGGAGCCCGACCCAGGGCAAGGCACCTCCGGGCCCTCTGTGCCAGGTCCTGACCTGGCATCCTATGAACATATTTAAGAAAGCCCACTGTGTGTCCTGGCTGTACTGGACACGTCCCAGGTCCTCCTGGGAACTTCTGAGTCACCGGAAGCAAAGGAAGGGAAGCTGGGGTGTCCAGGAAGGTAGGGGCCAAGCCTTGAGCTCTGTGCCCCGCTGCTGGGACAAGGGCCAGCTCTGTCCCCAGAGACTCCCCAGGGCCCCTCCTGCTGATGCAATGAGGTGGAAACACAGGAGGGAAAGGACAAAGCCACACAGACATCAGTGATTCCCAGCCCGGAGTCAACGGTGCACGCAAGCTGAGGCGACCATGGCAGCACCACAGCCCAGCCTGGGCTGGCTCTGCACCTGGGCACCGTGTCTGCAGAGCTGCGGAGACAGCTCGGCAGTTCCTCCCCTTATCTGGGCTTGGTACTGCCTGCAGTGCAAGGCCATTACCAGCAGGAGCAGCTCCACCAGCACTCACCCACCCTCAAGGCCCGCACCCCGGAGGTTCTGGAGGCACACATGGCCCCTCAGCTCCCTCCAGAGGCATCATGGAGGCCCAGCAGATACAGCGCCACATCCAGGGCACACAAAGCAGGGCAGTGCTGGCCTCTCTGCCTGAATATGCCCACATGCAGGGCATGGACGCCCACAGACACAGGGTGCCCATCTGTCCTGCAGCCACACCCCAGCCCGCCAAGTCCTGTGTCCTTGCACCAGCCCGACCCCCAGAAGCATGCAAGAGCTTCACAGGCCCTGCCCACATACCCTGGCCTGCCTGCCCTGGCCCGGGCCACACCAGGGCGGAGAAGGCGCCTACCTGAGGTCTCGCCCAGAATCCGAGGAGGTTTCGTGTTTGTCCCGTCCCCGCTGGGACTGGGGGAAGGCTCCGTTGTGCTGACCCCTACGGCGATCTTTCTCCAGGGCTCCAGGGACGCGGTGAGGCCCCGGGTCTGTAGCGTCATGGAGGTGGCCGTGGTGGTCGTGGTGGTGGTGGCCACAGTTGTCTTCCGAGTCTGCAGCACGGAGACCGTGGTGGGGCCGTACAGGCCCGGGAAGGTGTTGGCCTCAGGAGGCTCCTCATCCCCCGTGGGCCCCCAGGCGATGAACTCTGTCTCTGTCGTGGGGCGGCTGCCCCGGAAGTCGAAGCTGTTGAGCAAGGCGTCCTGTGCGTGCCTCCGGCCCCGCTTCAGCTGGCTCTGCTGCTCCGCTGCCCCGCCAGCCGCCACCGCCGAGGACGAGGAGGACGACGAGGAGGCCAGGGTGGAGCTGGACTTGGCGGTAGCCGGGGGCTTGGTGAGGCCTCCCCTGGGCACGAGGGTGGCCGCCTGGTCCCTGGGCCTGTGGGCCCGCCTGGCACGGGACACCTGCATCTGCCCGTGGGCCCGCTCCACACGGGGAGCCCGGGGGGTCCACATGGGCGTAGGGGGCCGGGATGGCTGTCCACTCCGCAGACTCCACAGGCGTGGGGGCCGCTGGGCTGGGCGAGGCATGAGCCGGAACTCGGGGCCCGGGCCCAGTGACTCACAGGACGGGAAATCCACAGCAAGCTGCAGCATGGCTATCAGTATCCAAGCATGGCTTCCAAGGGAGCGGCCCGGCCAGCGGATGGACATGGAGCTGCAGAGAGAGGACAGCAGTCAGTCACAGCCAGTCACGGCCAGCAGAGGGCACCCCGGGGACAGGGGCTCTGCCACAAAGGGAACAGGGTTGTCCTGACTTCCTGGAACCCTGATCCCACAGTGCAGGGCCCCAGGCACCTCACTGGAGACCTGCGCCCAGTTGCTCAGTCCAAGGGGTCACAGGCACTGGCCAACAGATAAACAACCCTTTCTCAGGAGGAGGAGGGAGGCCCACACATGCCCACTGTCAGCCCTGGCCTGACAGCTGACCATCAGCACCAGCCCCCACCCTTTCTCTGCCAAGGACCTAAGGAGATAATCACAGGACCTGTCGGGTTCTGAGGCCAGGTGCAGCTCACCCTGGGCACTGCCAGCTCTAACCAGCACACTTCAGCCAGCACCACACGACTTCCAGAGCCACGACAGCCACATGCCTGGGCTCCAAGGGTGCCAGCCCACGTACCCTCTTCTGCCAGCCTGGCTAATTGAGGACTGATTATAGGTGCCACTCAAAGTCAGTGCTTGTCACCAACCTCTCTTCTGAAAGTTAACATGAATCCCCAAACCTCCAGGTGGCTGGGGTGGGGGCGCGGGGCGTGGGGGGTGTGGCATGTGCCGGGTTCTCGGGCCCCCATGACCAGCTGTGCCACGCAGGCTTGCAGTGCACCTCGGGTGTGTTTATCGGCCGGCATGGACTTTAAAAGGCCTGCACCCAGTGGGGAGAGGGGGAGCGTGAGCCCACGTGCGTGTGCAGTGTGTGGGAACGGCTGTGTTGGTGTGTGCGCGCTAGGCGTGGGTGCGTGTGTGCAATCTGAGTGTATCAGTGAATGTTGGCACAGATGGGTGTGAAGATGTGTCTGTGACTGTGTTTCGGGGTGTGCGACACTGTACCAGTGAGTGTTGGTGTGCGTGCACACCCGTGCGTGTGGGTAGACGTGACTGTTACTGCACATGCACGCATGTGCACACCCTGTTGGCCATCACTGCTGCCCAGGAGTTGGTACCAGAATGAGCTGGCTCCTGAGAGTCATCAGGACCTTGAGAAAAGATGCCCTTTAGTGAGCGCTAATTCCCTAAAGGGCTGAGGCCCCAAGTAATAAGATCCCCGCCTTTAGGGTGCTTTTTGGTGGAGGGGGTGTCACTCATCACGAGGACACACTCCAGGGTCTCCTCCGGAGGCCTCTGATCCTCTGTCCTGCCCCTGCTTGCAGGTTTAGTAGGGACTCAGAGTGGGGAGCAGCAGAGGCTGCTCTGAGTGGGGTGAGGTTCCCCCAGGCTCCCAGGGCCCCAGCAGGCATTGCCGGGCTCCTCGAGACCCCTCTAGGGTCCTCTGGGCTGACCAGGGCCCCTGGGTCCCAGTAGGTCTCTCCAGACTCAAACCCTTCAGACCCTCCAGACCCAGTGACACCCTGCCAGGGTGGCTGCACCCAAAGGGACAGAGGATGGAGCTGCTTGTTGCCAGCACTTGGAGAAATACCGCTCCAGGAATGAGAACACAGCCCCGCAGCCCAGGCCTGCCTCCCCAGCATAACTCTGCACGCAGGATATTTCTGTGAGTCTTCACCAATCACAGGCTGTAATTGGTTACCATAGAAACCCCCTCATTTCCAAGACACCCAGCTGTTATGCAGAAAACCCAGCCTCCGCCACAGGTCTGCGTCTCCTCTTCCAGTCCAGTTTGCTCCTTTTACGCAGCACCCATTTGCTCAGAGGAAAAACAAAGCTGTGGGGGAGCAGATTGGGGGTCTTCCCATCAGCGGGGAGAGACCCAGCAGGGGCCAGGGCAGCAGCCCTGCTCCCCAGGCACATCCAGGGCTGGCCTTGAGACTGGGCAGGAGTCAGGACGCCCTCTGTGGTCCCTCTCCCTGCAGGATGAAGTCTGCTCCGTGGCACCCTCAGGGACCCTGCTGGCAGCTGCCAGCCACACCATTACTGTTACAGCAGGTGAGAGACACACGCACCCTGGGGCCAGGACCTTCCCTCCACTTCACACCCAGAGGGGAGCTGTGAGCCCAGAGAGGGGCAGCGCCATGTGCAGCCAGGATGTGACCGGCTATGACAGTGGCACACGATTCTCAGAGTCAGCAGACCAGCAATTCCAACCTCGGGCTCACCGATCTGTCCCTGGAAACCCCCGCACGCCCACATCCAAGGCAAACCCTTCTCAAGGATCCCGAGTGGGACGCAGCCAGGTGTCCACCAGCAGCCAGTCATTCAGACACATGTGGTGCAGCCACCCAGCAGTGTGTGTGGGAGGGACCCTGAGAGCAGTCCCCTGGTGGACACAGCCCTCACTCACCCAGCTGTGTGGAGGAGGGGTCCATTCACAGGCAATGACCAGCCTCTGCTCACTGGGCCCTGGCTTTTCTTTCAGGGTGACACGATGCTCTGGGAGCGATGTGGGGGCTGCATGTAAAAGCACTGAACCACGCGCTTTCAGAGGTAAATTTAATGGCATGGAAATTGTGCCTCTGTGAAAAGACAATGTCCAGGAACACGGCAGAGAAGGGGTAGGTACACAGGTGCCAGGCGCTGACATGGGGTTGCCATGCAGCCCCCAACCCTGTGCCCCGGCCCGGCAGCTGGAAGCAGACCTGAGCAGACCCTCTGAGCCACAGGCGCATTGCCACGAGTGCAGCTGAAACTTCAGGGCTCCTCCTCGCTGGCCCCACCTCGCCCCAAACTCACAGCGAGCAACGTGCTGGAGATAGCGATGTACAATATAGTAAGCCTTGCTAGCCTCTTACTATTCTGTTTTGAAATTCTGTATCATCGTTTTTATTCTTTTTCTCATTTAAAAAATCCCCTCCCTACTTGAGCGCAGTGGCCGTGGGCTGCCGTAGGGACAGCCCCGGACAGCTGTCACCGGGCAGCCTCCAAGCCCCTTCGCGACTCCCTGGTGGGAAGCGCTGCCCGGCCCCTGCCTTCTCCAGTTTGAAACTTTCTAGCTTCTCTTCCTTTTAAATTTTTATTGAAACCTCTCTTTCCCCCAGAACAGTCTAATAAGGTTCAGTGAACTGAGATTCAATTCGCCACCTCCTGTATGTTTCTTCACAGAAGAAAATCACTGTCAATTAAGGGTGACAGAAACGTCCCTTCACCTGAGGCTGCCCCTTGGGGGCTGCAGCTGGCAGCTGCACTTGCTGCTAGTGGCCGGCCCCTCACCTGCGGGGACACAGGGGTGGCAAGGAGCCCTGGGCTGTCAGGCCCATTGGGGGTCACGGGGCACAGTGGTCCAGCAGGCGGCCAGCTGCGATGACCACTGACCTGCTGCCCGCCTCGTCTTGTCACCCTGGCCCCAGGGCCCTTGAGGACGGCAGTTTGCTGGGGCAATGGATCTCATGACTTGGACACCACACCAGCAGGGTTTTTGGGGACACCACTGGCATAGTGGGGTTGTCTCATCTCGTGGAGCCCCTGTGCCCAAGGAAGACATGGCCTTGCCTGGAATCAGGGCTCCCCTGGGGGCCCCGGCTGTACCCACCCAGCCCTGCTGGCCCTCTCCTCTATGAGCTAACAGGTGGCCTGCTTGTTTTGAACAGTTCCTGATGTACACGAGAACCACAGGAGACAGAGGACCCCGGGGTTCTCCCCTAGTGTCTACTGTATGACCCAGGCCATGTCACCTCGATGCACTGTCACAGCTCGGGGAGCAACACCAGCACCCCGTGCTTCAGAGAAAACCACCAGTCAAGGATCACACCTGGCCTCCCTAGTCCTGTCTCCCTGGCCCTCCCAGCTGGGGGATTTCTACCAGCAGGACAGGGTTGTCCCTCTGCTGAAGTCTGCCTGACGCCATCTGCCATCAGCCACAGGTCTGAGGGGTGGCAGAGCTGCAGACTCCTCTCAGGCCACAGCCAGGTCCCGCCCCCTCCCCCCAGGGCACTGCTGCTGGAATCTCCTTTGTCACCTGACAGGAGTCCGAGTGCAGGCATCCTCACTGGACAGCACCACCCACTTGAGTAATGCCCACCCTTGTCAGAAACATCCACTGTTGTTTATAAAATCTCCTTAAGATTCCCAAGGCAAGGGTGGCATATACCTATAATCCCAGAACCTGGGAGGCTGAGTCAGGAGGATCTCAAATTCAAGCCCAACCTGGGCAACTTGATCCTACCTCAAAAAAAAAAAAGAGAAAGAAAGAAAGAAAGAAAGAAAGAAAGAAAGAAAGAAAGAAAGAAAAGAAAAGAAAAGAAAAGAAAAGAAAAGAAAAGAAAAGAAAAGAAAAAAAAAGGAAGAGAAAGAGCATTAGAGATAGAGCTCAGTGTGAAGACCCTAAGGTTTTGTCTCTGGCACTGCACACCGAAAAAGATTCCCATTGGGCAGCAGAGCAGGCAGGAAGGAACTGGTGGAGGGGGCACTAATGGGCAAGTGTCCCAACAGTGCCAGGGCTCAAGGACATGTCTGACCCTTTGCTAATACCTCCATCCTACACCCCAAGGGCTTCTGAGCTTGGGGAGCACTTGGGGCTCAGCAGGGAGAAGGTTGAGTCCACCAGCCCCGAGCAGAGTCCTGGTCCCTGGGGCAGGGCGCCCACACCCTGGGCTTCTCCAGGGAACTGGAGGGGCCAGTGAGAGAGGCTGGCAGCCCTGAAGCTACTTCAGGAAGGGCAGAGTCTGCTCTTTGCAAAGACTCAAGACTCGGAGTGCAGATCCGGGCTGCAAAGACAGCAGGGCGGTCTCTGTTGCTGGCAGAGCACAGGTGGCCACGTCCAGCCCTGTGCTCCCCTGTCCTGTGGACCTTGCTGTGTCCTCCCAAGACTCCCAGGTCAGACCCTGGACCTCAACTAGGGGGTGAGGAGTGGGCCCTTTAAGAGGCGGAGCCCACGGGAGGTCTCCAGGGGCCCTGGGACATGGCCCTCTCCTCATTCCTGCTTCTTGGCCAAGCCTGGGCTCCTGCCCCACATCTCCTGACTCCTCACCCCTGCAGCAGAAGTGCCACCTCCTCCCCAAGGTGGACTGCCAAGCCAGGCCCACTCGGGAAGGAGCAGCACAATCT